TGCCCGTGATGTGTTTTTTCGATTTGCAGGTCCTCGCTAGCGTGTGATATAGAAAATTTGATCGGGAAAGCGATGATAAGATTTTCGGTGGGCCAGAGCAGTAACAGATTTGGGGGCTCCAGCAGTGACTAGTGACTGATAAACTATAAAAGACTGCCATAACCCAATTATCAATCATATCCCAATTTGCTTACGTCCTTGAAGCTCCTATGAAGCTACACATCTAAAACACGGAAGATGGCTGTGATAAGATTTCAATACTGCAGCAATTTATTTATCTCATAGTTGTACTAAGAGCGACAAAATAGCTAAGGTTCAGCTCACCTTAAAGCTCATATATGCATGAGTTAAATACCATTTTCGAAATCTGATAATTCGGACCAGTCTTTTAGCGTTTTAGTAATTTGTAATTTTTTGAACTAGAGACAACTTTGTTTCAAGGAAAACTGAAAACGGGAACTAATATTTTTTTTTCGTATGCTATTTTCCATTTTTAATGATTCATTTAGCTTGAATACAAGCTTATAGCAATTACAGTATCACCCATATATCATCTAGTTTTTTTTGTTTGAACACCAAAATGTACAACTCCGGATTATTGTTGGAAAATTGAAAAACCTCGAAAACTATTGATTTTTGTCTGTGCGTATATAGGGTGAGATTTGTTGCATTGTAGGCCCTGTATCACATGCTGAAAAGGATATGGCTGATTATCAGTAACTCTGTATATGGAATCCTTTGAAGTATCGGCACAACTAAGCTGCTAATGTTTCACATGTTCTAAGGTTTTAGTAACAAGATAATATCTTTTATGACCTAGTGTACTGTGGTGTGTCTCGCATTATGTATAATTTAATTTTTATCGTGTATCTAAATTCTGGTCAAGCGTAGAGACTTGAGTGGAAATGTAAATGCAAAGTGTCTTGGACGTGTAATTTGGAGTTCATGAATATTCAACTATAAAAAATTGCCATTGCGTGTTGCACTTTCTAATGACAAGCCTATCGCGCAACTATTTGTGCACTCATAATCTACGGACAATTTGCTACGATTCTAATCAAATTCTAATCAGCTCGGGTGCATTTAATGAATTTCTCCGAGCCCTAGTAAAAATATGTTTACATAGGTCTATGTCTAAGTTAAGCATTGTGCAACTGAGCTCGTATTGTTCTGTTTATATTGTTTTTACCTCTGAAGTCTTGTTTGTCGATTTTGAAAGGTGAAAAATGATCCGACATGATCAACATTTTGAATATACAAAAAAATGCAGGATAAAGTTTAAGTTAGTTGTTTTTCCAGTGACCAAAATGTTAGAGAACTGGATCTATGGATAGCTATCAAAGTAAAATTCGTTTGCAATACACCATCTTTAATTTACAGTCATTTGGGCAGAATTCTGGGAAAGTTAAAAAGACGTTTGCACCTTACCAGGAAAGTAGGTTACTGGTAGAAGTAGAAGAAAAAAATGAATTAAGCTATCTGTGCCGTTGTATAGGATGGAGGTGTTGATTTCACAATGTTCACAAATACTTATTTTTGGAAAGGGTAATATGTGATAAGTTTCTAGTACTGTGGACAATACCCAGTGGATTGAAATTAACCGAAACAATAAGTTTAGTAATTAAAAAGTTCGACAGTATTATATTTACGCAATCGTGTTTAAATTACAGAAACAAACATCTCATAGGTCAAATTTAGTATAGTGTTGAACGTTTTGTATCTTTGGAAAGGCAAAAAGCTCACGAAGCGTCTAATTATTCTTTTAATAGGCAGAAAGCAAAAAATCACACTACGTTCTTGGATCATACATCAACATCCACACCCAGCTATTCTAGTAGTAGCTGCGAAACCATGCGATATTTCAACTCAACGTATTTTTGTCATTATATCTTAGTTGGGTTAACTCTTACAATCCTACAAAATTCAGTAGAACAGGATTTTTTGCACAACTTTACAAAGCTTCTAAATCGTTAAAACTGATATTAGTTGTTTAATCAAGGTTTGTGTTGAAACTAAAGTTGAGAGAGACAGTATCGTTAGACGAATGTAAACCGCCCCAAATAGGGCATCCATCTAGAATCTGAGCTTGATATGTTCAATCCATCCGTTGCACTCTTAAATTTACATCTTCTTGGAAGGTAACTATGATCTTGAATCTTGATACTTAAGACACTTGGATATGTATATTTTGCTTATTTTACCTTTGGTTCCATAAGCCCTTAAACTGCCGATGAAGGTTCTCAGAAGTATCATTAACGTGTATCCAAATAACCTGTCAGCTAAAAGCTAAATGACATACAAACATACACACCAACAGACAAAACCGCATAACATACATAGACAAACACAACGTGGTATCGACATCACAACGTCAACAATAATAACAGCGACTGAGATGCTAGGCTGCTAGATGTTGCGTTTCCTGCAAGACAAACCTGTGATGTTGATCTTTGCCGACCATTTGGACGTGCCGTCCAACACCGACTGGTTGACAGCCTTCATGTGTCCCGCGTGATTCTTATCTTCTACGCCGAATACGGCCCTGTGTAATAGCGGCAGTACAAATGTTAACGTTGCCAGTTTGCGTTGTTATGCACAGAAATTGTTATGCATAGCAAGGAAATATAACTTAGATACCTGTACCTTCAAATTTTGTAATGCTCAACCTCATACCAGCTGATTATTACGGCATAAAGTCATTACACAGACACAACTATTTCGAGTACTATGTCCGTCTCAGTATTCCTCAGGAAGATTTTGTCGCACATTGTGTTTTCTTATTTAAATTATGTGGCATAATATGATTGATTTAAACAGGTATGTGTTCCTTGTTTGTACCTTGGAGGCAGTATTGATTCTAAGTTATATGGGTTTCAGAAAGTTTATAAAAATTTTCAATATCATTTTGTCTACTATACAAACTGGCAACGCTGGGTAAATGATTATTTATCTCAATTAATGAGGAAGTGGATGCTTAATAAGTAGGTAACTTAAAGAATTATAGCACTATGAGATGTGGCAACTTCCAAAGTATGGAGGCATGTGTAGGAGTAGTATTCCGTTTACAAAAATCAAGCATCTTGGATAATGAACAAATGGCATGTAACAATATTTGAGATGTCTTCCATGACGTTCCTCCTCAGTATGACTATACTACAGAGATTTTATAGAAATTTAATAAATACATGTCACGGTATAACACTCCACCGCTCCACTTTTAAAAAAATGAGTGACATTTGATCGTTACTTATTTATTTATTTACACATGAATGCCCAACAACTAATCCAATTGCAGAGCAATATTGCAGTGTGCATACAGGAACCACATAAAACAAACATAAAAAAACTCGCTATTGTAATAGTCCCTGAAGTTTGACAAGATTTTATTAATACGAGTACATTAAAAATTAATGTCAGAACCGTCTGATATGGAATTATAATTATTGCGTATAGAATATAGCGGAGAAAAAAAAAATGGTCAGACCTCCTTGTTGGATACGTGCCATCAATTCTAAAGGTACAATATGTAAGAAATGTTCTTTGTACATTTCCTAGAATATTTATATGATATGCATAGAAAGGGTTCCATATCAAAGTAGTTTTGGTCGCACCAGTCTTTAGTGCTGCTTCATCGGAAAAAGATCGGCAGTTACTCATTATGAAACTGAGAAGCCCTGTCGCCTTTAATTGGCGCGTGCTACATGGACAGAAAAGTTCACCCTGCAGGAAAATGTTACATCAAGATCATTAGTCTCTGTCTCTAGAACCACATTAATTAAGGAACAGTTAAAGATAACCGAGTTCATTTTGCGACAATATGAACAAACCTTCAAACCTTACACTTGGAAATATTTAAGAAGAGAAAGTTATTGTCACACCACTAAATGATAGTATCTAAATCCTCCTGAGGGAAAAAACAGTTCTGCAAATTTGTAGTTTTGGCGTAGATTTTCAAGTCATCGGCAACTAATAGACTGTGACACTTTAGTGAAGCGGCTAGGCTATTTATGAAGAATAAAAACATCAAGGGCCCAGGTTGAAACCTCGCGGCACGCGGCACGAACAACAATCATTATAATAACCATATTGCATCCGATTGGATAGATCTTCACAGTTATTATTGAAAAAAAATCACGAAAGTGGAATGCATGCTAATGCTAAATTTTGATATTTGTATATGACCAAGACTATGAAGATCATCGCAGAAGTCAAATTTGATAGTTACCTAGACCTCTGTTTAAGATTTCTCATTTCCGAGTCACACACAGCAACTTTAATTGAGAAATGCTTGATGACGAAATAAACAAGAGTGCCATAAGTAAGACCAAACCCAAGAATACTGCAAGATAGGTGCCAGTTCCAAGAACTCGTATGTTCGAAGTATCCCTCTCAAACTCGAATTTTACGGCTTTGCTATGCTAGCTATTGCACATTCCCTTAAGACATAGTAAATAATCCGCCAGGCCTCTCACATTAAATGTCATAACCATCAGAAAATCCGAAACTTCTTTAAATGGTCAAGCAGACACATTCTAAAATTCAATTTGAGGATAATTCTTGAACTGATAATAATAATAATAATAATAATAGCTTTATTGTCCAACAGTTTCCCATTTATAGTACAATTTATAAACATAATACAAAAGCAAAAAAAAAGCGAAAAAAAGCGAAAAGAAAACAACAAATGCAACACATGTATAAATTTGTAACATGAGCTATTGGTCCGAATAAGCCTTAGCTGCCTCTGGCAGGTAATTAACATTTGTCGTAAATATATCACAGTAACATCCAATTCTGTTTAAGTTCGAGCACATTACATATAACGGTGACTTGAGAAGAATGTTTGTCCTAGCTCTGTTCTGTAAGACCACCTTGACTGGTCGGTTTTTCCCGGCGCCAAATTGTCCCAGTCTAATTACTGATGCATTTTGTCGCTGGAAATGAGCATCCACCACTCTAAAAATTTTCCCTACATCAACTTTATCCTTATCTGCCCTGGCTTAGGGCTGGTCACTCTGATTTTGCTCCGGTAAGCCAAATACAATCATATTCCGCTTACGGGAGTTGCGCTCATTCATTTCTCCAATAATCTCTTCAAAATCAAAACCATTAGCTGGAGCAGCAGACTTCAAAGCATTATTCTCTGGAGAAGAATAGCCGAGAACAGTCGGCGTGCTTCTCTTTATTTTGGGCAAACTGTATTCCCGAACGCTCATAAAAGAGTCGCACCTCAAACTAGGATTTGGGATCACTTTCTGGAAAAATTGGCATACACAACGACTTTCTGTCATTGATCATATTGCTCCGTTTTTGAGGAAAGTAGTCCTGACGGGAATAATAATTTTCTCGTTCTAAAAATTGTATGCCTTGAACGGCAGTCAACTATTCTGTGGAAGGTCTGTCCCACCCTTCCACAAACACCGTCAACATTTTTGTCCTGTTCTTTGATGTCTCTTATTTTCGATCCCAAATCGCGTAATTCTTTGAAGTTCCCAGCTATTTAAAATTAATTGTAAAAACAATATAACCAAACCTTAAATACGTGATCGTAAGGACGTGACAAAACAAAATTTAATAAAAAACAAACACACCGTAAAAACTTCACAAAACGAGAGCTCCTCAAGCGACAAGTTAGTTTAATTAGGAGCAACTTTTAAGAAGTTTTCCTCGGACTTCTTCAGCAAGACCGTATAGCGCAACTTATTTAATATTCACCTCAAAAGCGGAGAACAACTTGTTTCTTTCGGTTATTTGTTCACGATTCCGCTTGGGATACTTCGTGTTAACTGGCTCGCTGGATCAACCAGGGATTGCTAATGTTTATCTTTTGAATTCCGCTGGACCTATGTAACACCACAAGTTAATAATACTCGGAAGTACTGCGAGTAATAATAATTTAAAAAAAGTTAGAAGTTATTGCTACAAATAAGCGTACAAGACTGGACTGAAAATGAAATAATAAAATAGCAGTACAAAGCCTAGCAGCAACCACTAAGTACACATGTGCTCTATACGTCCCCTCAGTTTAAACGCAGGTCATTATTTAGGCGATCCAAATCTTCGTTTGGCCATCATATTTAGAAAAGTGAATCGGGTAAGCAACATGTCTTGGTAGCTAGTGAGAAGATTTCAACTTTGTAATGATCATTTTACTTCACTTTGAAGAACAAACATATATTTTATCATCACACGTTCTTTTAATAAAACAGTAGTTATTTAGATATAGCCAGGTTTTTAATTCTTATCAGTCTGTGAAGATAACATAATACTACTGTAAATGGGGTAATGGTTTACTTTTGCTTGAGTAAAAGCGAATTTCAAATAGTCAAGAGTATCGTATTCAGAAATACTGAAGACTGTTTTCGCTGATCTTACCACACAGTTAAAATAACTTTGGAAATTGCTCAAAGTCCAGGAACAGCCACTACTATCACCTGTGAACCTCCCAACTAGCAAAGTAGTGGTATAAGCTTTTGGTAAAACAACCGTTCAGCCATAAAAGCTCTCTATTGTTGTTGCCTGAACACCAAAATGCTGGCTTAATGTTGTGTGGAATGCAAATTTGCTTTCTGCAACATATTTGCTCTAAAGTGAGGTGTTTAAAATATTCTTATAGCATAGTTATACAACACCTTGCACGTTAGTCAAAATGGTTCTGTTGTGGCATCCATGGTAACGTTTATAAAACAAACCCGAGCCTTGTTGTTTTGCTGTGCAATTTACTACTTTAGTCAACAAATTGCTCCCAATGGAAGCACTTATACCACTGTTGTTTAGTAACTGTTAAAGGCTGTGTGTACGTATGCTAAATATGTTGGTATACAACTTCACCATAACCTAACTTTTTGCTGTCATATTTTTGTTAAAATGTCATAACCAATGTTTTAAGACAAACAACGCATGCATATTGGTTCAAAATGTTTTATCAACTGTTCAAACAGAAGATATAGATCTGGTACAAATTGTGGGTAAATCATTCGACTCTGTCGGTATTTCATTTCAGACATTTGTCAAATTGTTGTATAACTCCTGCAGGCAACACCAAAATATTCTAATAACCTAAAGACAACGTGGACGATGCCATGATTATACACAACCACCCTCCATATTGGGCAAACATTTATTCCTCTATTTAATATTAAATAATTATGTTTCAGTTCGAAATTACAGATATAAAGTGATAAACATTAGTGTAATTGTGTCTAAATATAGGATTTGTGGAAGATTTAACGCAGATAAGTTCAGTTGTCCATCTTAAAAATCTAGACATACTTTTGATCATTATCAAAATATGAATCAAATACGAAGCCCGTAGAAATTGCATAACTAATTTTCACGATAATCGCAATAGAATTTGCTGTGCAAGTAATTCAATAGCCCTATATACCGGTGTATGAAATTCAAAATAGCCGATATGTAAGTAAACAAGATGACTGTAATGTGTTAGTTATTTATTCTTCTTCGTCTATACAACACATACGAAATAGTTTGGTTGCAATAAAGTAGAATCACGTAACAGAATAGTTGTATAGTTGACAAAAACTGAATCTTGCACTGACGCAAATGTCCTATAGCGGCTGCAAGAGGCTTACACTTTTGTTGTATAACTATTACCTGCAGCCCTTGTACAACCTCTTAAATGACTGAAGTGTCCTATAAGGTGTGCCCATTCCGCTTGTATAGCAGTTCTAAGAGGGTTTTGCCAATGTTCTTACAGTATACAATGCTGTTTAAGGAATACTGTATAATCATTCTTGCAACTCTAATAGGAGTGATAATTGTTAGTTGGGCTGTATGTACACGCAGTGTTAATACAGGATATTGTTATTACCATTTAGCACCTATATAAATATATAAAAGAAACTAGATCACGTGATCCGGACCGTGGTCATGTAGCTGTGTAACAGTAGGTCAATATACTTTCGTAAACACCGAACCATTACATTTTTATTTTTATTTTTTAAAGGTAAATATATTTTGAAATTACACATTTTTCCATTAATTCAGTAATTATTAAGCTATATTTTAGTATAAATATTTTAACACTCAATTCTTATCATTTTGCGAAGGTATTTAAAAAACTCTACGTGACCCATCTTTGGTAAAACCAAGACCAATTTCGACAGCTAAAGGAAATCCGCTATCCGAGGATGCCCCCAAAAATTCGAAATCAGTATTCAGAATCTTTCAAAGATGGAAACTACAACATGTGCACTGATGTGCATTGAATACTATTTCGGATGTCTACGAAATATACACAGGAGTGTAAATATAAAATCACATCATCTAAAAGTATGATCCGAATCGTGGTCAAAATATTTAGGAATGCAAAATATTTCGTTGAGCGTTTATCAATATCTAATGGATTTATCCAAAAATGAATAATCACATGATATGTTTCCCCTCAAAGACGGAGCAAGACGAGTTCAAAAAAATTAAAATAGGTCCACTAGTTAAAGAAATTTTACAACTTGGCGGACAAACGACAAAGATCTATCTACTCCTAAGGGTACTCAATAATGCCGCATTCGAGCTGAGTATGCGGTATGCGGTTGCGGTGGTTTAGGCAAAATGACAGCAACCCGGCTGTTGTGACGTTTGCTCATAGGTGACTTTTGCGTCACGGAGGCTATCCAAGCTGTCGTGCAAGCCACGGATAGCGCATATAAAGGTGCTTGCTGTGTGAAATACCAGAAACACTTTTTCGAAGTAAGATATCAAAGCATTTTGATTATCTGAAAAATTTAAGCATTTAGGTAACAGGTGTATACTGCAGGATCATTTACTTTGAGTATCCAAGACCATCTGGTAATCGTGTTAGTAATTTCCATATTCTATTGGCTGCCAAATGAAACTACAAATGTTGAAGTAAAAGTTTACATTTTGGCCACCTCGGTGATATTTAAAAAATACCAAATGGGGTTGTTCGTATAGTGGTCGGTAACTTGTTGGTGACCATGTCTGGGAGCCGGCTCTGTGAATTCTGTATATATAGCGTAGCAGAATGAACAGAATTTGTGTGGCGAGATCTTGGATACAACCACTTCCAAATGTTACACTGATGAGTTACACTACTTTTGTAAGTACCGATGTTTTGAATTGTGTGATATGCATTACGTCTTGCGGATGGAGTTCTCATTACAATGCCACCCTGGCCACCTTGACAGTAAATCTAGGAAATACCAATTCACCTTGGTCCATATTTTATGGTTTATTTTATGTCTTTTCTGGTAGATTAATTGGATGAACTTAAGGTGCTTCTAATAAAGCTGCCGTAAAAATGATCTTTATACCCTCTCATCATCCTGAGCTTCAGCTGTAATGCACTTCTTGCTTTTAATGTCTTCCAGCCGACACGCGCTGCATGCAGAATCATTCGGATTGTACCTTCTCCATTCGGCTTTCCTTCAAACTGCCTTAGACAGGTGATAATTCAGATATTTCTTGTGCCATATTTTCGCGGTTTGCTTTGTTTTCTACGTTATCTTGTAAAAGTTAACTGTGATATGTGTGTCTCTGTATAAGATGGGTGAACTTACGGAAATGACGATACTATTCGTCATTTATTTGTCTGGGCGGTCCGTAGGACCTTTGCCCATTAGTCACTGTCTGATGTACGTTAGTCGAATCTGTCAGTCCTGGTTGCCCAGAATTCAGACAAAGTCAAGGAAAAAGAGAAAGGAAAAGAGAAGAAAAAAGGAGAAGAACAAAGAAAAACAGATATGCTTAGTTTAAGAGGAAACACCTAGGCTTTTTGACTTGTATACGGATTAATTTTGAGGTGAACTAAACAAATTTTTGATTCGGTTTTGTTAGAGTGTAATTTTGAGTTTACTAAAGATTCACGCTAACTTTTGATTACAGTGCGAGCCGTGGCCTTGAATGTTTACGAACTTGCTCCACTGTGTAGTCCACTGAGTCACGCAACAGAGTGTTGCTGTGCGATTCCGCTTCACTATAACGTCGCTGCGCCTGAAGCTTGACATAATCCCTCAAGTAAGGAATGTCAAGGTCTCTGTGTAGTGTCTCATTTGAGACATACCATGGAGCGTTGCAAATTTTCCGCAAAGTTCTGCTCTGCAGTACTTGAAGACTTTGCATGCGTGTCTTGGCAAGAAAACACCAAGCCGCACATGCATAAGTAATGGCTGGTCTAATAATCATTTTATATAGTCGAACTTTGTTTATCAAACTCAATTTGGAGGATCTACATAACAAAGGATATAGTTACCGAAACGCAATTTGGAATTTTGTTTTTATGGATGCTGTATGTTTCTGCCAGGTCATGCCTTTATCAAGGGTGACACCGAGATACTTGGCAGAATTTGTCCATGGTACTCGATTTCCGCCTACAGAAGCCTCTGCTGGGGGGCTGCGACGTTTTTTGGTACAATAAATAGCCTGCGTTTTCGAATGATTAATTTTTATCAGCCACCGTTCCGCCCACTCTAGAACTTCGTCCACCGCAATTTGCAACCCATCGTGAACCAGATCACCAGTACACGACTAGGCGACAAGTGCAGTGTCGTCAGCATAGAGGTAGACTTCACAGTTGCTGGGGGAAGGGACATCATGGATGAAAAGCGAATAAAGAATTGGTCCTAGGACCGAACCCTGAGGAACACCGGCCCGTACTCGCCGTGTTGTTGACAAAACATTGTTAATTTTGATCCGAAACTTCCTTCCTTCAAGAAAGGATTTCAGTAAATTTTGAAGCCAAAAAGGAAAACCCTTTTGGATTAGTTTATAGAGGGGAAATGACGATTTGATAGTTAATACCGAAAAATTGATGGAGCGATGAAATCGATTCTTAGCATTTAGCTGATATTCACATCCGAACAAGCAGTTGTTACTGTAAAATATCCAGGATTCAATTTTTATTGCATTTACGAATTGCTATGAACAGAAATTAGAAAAAAGATTACCCAATTCTCAAGGTCGGTGTGATTGCCGATTCACACTTTACCTTCTGTTCGTTGTTTCCCCTTCTTTGGTCTTCCATTAAACTGCATCAGACAGGTGAACATCCGGTACCTTTGTTCGTTTCATGTACGGGTTTTGCTTTGTTTTCTTGGTTTTCTTTGTACGCTCGTTAGCTTTGCTTTGTCGTACATTTGTTGCTTACTTTGAAATTTCTCGAAAGCAATTTAGCTCATACATCATGTTATTATGTTATTCTATGGAGAAGTTATTTTGATATAAGTGCCTTCGACCCGTTACTGTGAAACGTGTTTTATGCCGAGATTTTGCCCTCATGGATCCTGCCAGGAAATTACTTGAGCACATATGTATGCATATGCTGATGATGTAGATATAGTAGCAGCAAGCAGGGAAAGAGAGACACATAAAAAATGTTGACCTCTTGGGTCATTAATTGATCGAAGATGACTGTTGCTGCAGGTTAAGCTTGAGAGATCCGACTCAGCACTCAGCGTACTATTAAGTATTAAGCATCACTTGGAGGAGACTTTAGTTGTAGAGGAAGGATGGAGAACGTAACGTTGATGGAAGGAAACCGGCGACAATAATGGAATGTATGTACTACTATGTACTATGTATATTTGTGTCCTTCAGGAAAGGATAGAATCAAGAGAGAGTGCAGTTTGGGTATACGTACTATTCGTCATTTATTTGTCTGGGCGGTCCGTAGGACCTTTGCCCATTAGTCACTGTCTGATGTACGTTAGTCGAATCTGTCAGTCCTGGTTGCCCAGAAACCAGACAAAGTCAAGGAAAAAGAGAAAGGGAAAGAGAAGAAAAAAGGAGAAGAGCAAAGAAAAACAGATATGCTTAGTTTAAGAGAAAACACCTAGGCTTTTTGACTTGGTAGACGGATTAATTTTGAGGTGAACTAAACAAATTTTTGATTCGGTTTTGTTAGAGTGTAATTTTGAGTTTACTAAAGATTCACGCTAACTTTTGATTACAGTGCGAGCCGTGGCCTTGAATGTTTACGAACTTGCTCCACTGTGTAGTCCACTGAGTCACGCAACAGAGGGTTGCTGTGCGATTCCGCTTGACTATAACGTCGCTGCGCCTGAAGCTTGACATAATCCCTCAAGTAATGAATGTCAAGGTCTCTGTGTAGTGTCTCATTTGAGACATACCATGGAGCGTTGCAAATTGTCCGCAAAGTTCTGCTTTGCAGTACTTGAAGACTTTGCATGTGTGTCTTGGCAAGAAAACACCAAGCCGCACATGCATAAGTAATGGCTGGTCTAATAATCATTTTATATAGTCGAACTTTGTTTATCAAACTCAATTTGGAGGATCTACATAACAAAGGATATAGTTGCCGAAACGCAATTTGGAATTTTGTTTTTATGGATGCTGTATGTTTCTGCCAGGTCATGCCTTTATCAAGGGTGACACCGAGATACTTGGCAAAATTTGTCCATGGTACACGATTTCCGTCTACAGAAACCTCTGCTGGGGGGCCGCGACGTTTTTTGGTACAATAAATAGCCTGCGTTTTCGTATGATTAATTTTTATCAGCCACCGTTCCGCCCAATCTAGAACTTCGTCCATCGCATTCTGCAACCCATCGTGAACCAGATCACCAGTACACGACTGGGCGACAAGTGCAGTGTCGTCAGCATAGAGGTAGACTTCACAGTTGCTGGGGGAAGGGACATCATGGATGAAAAGCGAATAAAGAATTGGTCCTAGGACCGAACCCTGAGGAACACCGGCCCGTACTGGCCGTGTTGTTGACAAAACATTGTTAATTTTGATCCGAAACTTCCTTCCTTCAAGAAAGGATTTCAGTAATTTTAGAAATGAAAACCCTTTTGGATTAGTTTATAGAGGAGGCCCGCGTGCCACACCTTGTCAAATGCTTTTGAGACATCCAAAAGCACGATGCCAGTACTCATGCTAAGGGTGAACCCTCTGGCTACATGCTCCACCAGCCTGACTGCCTGTAGCTCGGTGCTATGCTCGGACCGAAAACCGAATTGGACGTCAGGAATCACATGGCGATTTGACGAAAAATTCTCAAGCTGACGATAAATCACCTTTTCGGCGAGCTTAGAAGGAGCTGACAGCAGACTTATGGGACGGTAATCCTGAGGAAATATCGAACCCACCTTCTTTGGAATCATGATGACCTCAGCAGTCTTCCACCCAGCAGGGAAGTACTGGATTTTGAGCGTCGCATTGATTATCGTCACCAAGTATGTCAGGGCTTTCGGCGAGAGCAGCTTCAACGCCTTGTTGGTGATTTGATCCTCACCTGGTGCTTTACGCACCTTGAGGTCTTTAATATGACTTAGTAACTCCGCTGGTGTGCAATGTGGAAACTCGGAGGGTTCCGCTAATGTGCTATGTGGAGCCTCAGACGAATCTTCTGAAGAAGAGTCATCTGAAGAGGATTCAGTACCTCCGCTAACGCCGTTGGCCCTAAAATATCTCCTGACGGATCGTACGATGTGCTGTTCCTCGTCTAGGTCATTATCGAGATCATAGTTGGGAGAGAACTGTTTTTCCATGGCATCAGCGAAAACCTTGACCTTATCCTCCGTTCTGAAGACTATGCCTTCAGGACCGTGGATGTGTGGGAGTTGTTCTCGCTTTCCGTTTCTGAGTGACTTTGCGACCCTCCAGAGAGGAATACTTGAATCAAGCATTCCCGCCAGAAAGTCGCTCCATTGCTCGTTGCGGAGTTCGTGCAGTGCGTTTCTCACTTCATGGACAAGATTTGTAGCCCTACGAATGTCATCAGGATGACAAGACCTTTTTGCCTGCTTAATAGCGGCTCTTTTGTCAGAGATTTTCTGGCGAATGTCCGCAGGCAAAAAAGGTCTGCCGTGTCGTTGTACAGGAAATACAGCTGAATGCTGTAGAGCTGCTTGAATGAAACTTGTCCACTCCGCTTGAGCGGCATCTATTCCAGACTCATCCTCTATAATCGGGATATTGGGAAACTCTCTAAGGCGCAACTTGTATAGGTCCCAATCAATGCGTTTCCTTGGAGGAGCTGCCTCCTCAGAAGTTTGCTCATTGCCCACATCCAAGACAACAGGTAGATGGTCATTATAGATATCATACAAGATTCGAGAAGAGATACTGTATCTACAGTTTTTAGATATCGCGAAATCGATGACATCTGGTGCCTGAAGATGGTTGAATGGATGATGTGTCGGCTCTTCAGTGCTATGTATAAGGTACCCATTTCGCATCACATGGTTGTACAATTGAACCCCACTAGTGGAATTCAACCTAGAATTCCATGCTCGATGTTTGCAGTTGAAGTCCCCTGCCACAATAAGCGGACCCGAGTAGTCCAAAAGGACCTCCAGATCCGCCTCTTGTAGCCTGGCACCACACCTGACATACTCCGATGTGATCTTCAACGAGACACCTCCCGCTATATTGACCACCACAGATGCTGCTTCGATGCTATGCATCCCCGCATTAGTGCTTCTATAATAGTCTATACCGCGTTTAATCAACACTGCTAAACCGCCGCCTCGACCATTCAATCTGTCACCCCGGATAACATCATAATTCGGGAGAGCTAAACGATCTCCCGGATTAAGCAACGTTTCCTGCAGCAAGGCCACATCTATACCTTCATCCAAAAGAGCTTGATGAAATTCCCGTTTTTTGGGAATATCCCTCATGCCCAAACAATTCCAAAAAAGAATTTTGATGAATGCAGGCTGTCTACTATTGTACCTAGACATTTACAGGAAATATCGCCTGCAACGCTTGGGTAGCGCTAATCAGTGGGCTTATTATTTGTTGTAAGGACCTTAGCGCGGTTGCCAGGTCCACATTTTGCGTGCTCAAGGGAGGTTGGGCAGAGGGGGCAGGCAAGGTTGCCTCCCGAGCTGCGTCCGCGTATGATATATTGCGCCTTTGCGCTATAACTTGCAAGTTCCTCCTTAGAGTGAACTTGCAAGTCCGGCTATTTGCGGGATGTCCCTCTCCACAGTTCGCGCACTTGCGTTCTTCCTCTTCTGTGAGGGGGCACAAATGCGTCATGTGGTCCTTTGCACATTTTAAGCATTTGGGCGGTCCAGTGCAATATGACTGCGCATGCCCATACTTTTGGCAGCGGTGACACTGCCCAATGAGTCTGGAGTTCTTCTGAACCTCAACTCGAATGGCCAGTCCCAGCAGTTCGTGTTCGTTGAACACTTGCTGCGACTTTTCAGTCTTGGGCAGTATCACGACCACCAAAGGCATGGGCGCGCCGCCGCTGCGCTTCAATCGAATGATGTGAAGAGGGCTATATCCCCTCTGCTCCAGTTCTCCCTTAATCTCAGTATCCGAAAAGTTGACGGGAACTCCTCGAACCACCGCATGGATGTTCCGTTCCGAAGGGAGAGGAAAAGTGTGATGGGGCACTTCTTCCTCTCGGAATAGGCGAACGATCTTACGGTAGTCGTCCTCGGATTTAGGAATAATCCTTATTCCCGCATCGATGGCAACCGCGCGATCTATTTTAATACCTAGGGAAATAAACTTGAAATTTAAAGTACGCCATCTCGTCCCGTCGCGTAAGACGATCGGGGTTATGCGCCCTTGTCGTGAGGGTCGTGTTGATGCCACGATGGTTGGACGAGATGACGGAGTCACCTGACGGGTAGATAACGTGGTCACTGGCTTGGTAATAGAAGCATTAATAGTGTTTCGATTTGATGAATTGGGGGAGGTGTGATCGGAAGAGGAGGAAAGTCTTGGGTTGATCGATCAGCCTTGTCGCCTTTCCTCCTTCTTGATTTTGCTTTTACAAATCCTTCAGTCTGTACGTCTTCGTCTGTGGATGTGAGATGATCATCAGAAACGTTTCTCAGTGGTCTTTTTAGGGTCTTTTTCCGTTCTTTAGGGGATTCTTTTGAATTTAGTAATATGGTTACCTGGGTGGTAAGGCTGTCAATTTTGGCTGTCTGGTCCTTGATGGTCTCCATTAGGTCTCGAATCTGCCTCGCCTGGTCGTCTATAATCAGCATCAGTTTTTCGATCGTTTTCTGCTCCGATGACATCTGCGTCAGTGAGCTCATGTTTTCTGTTTCTGCTTGGTTTCCACCACCGCTCAGCTCTTTCCTCATAGTATGTGGAACTGCGTCCTCTGTTGATCCTCCTGGGTCAACTTCCATCTTTTAAAAACTTTTTCTCGCCAACAAATCTCAGAAAACTTATAGCTCGCAAATGTTCGGGTATACGTATATTATACTGACGCGAAGGGGTAGATAAGTGGACGACCAAAAAGAATTAAAATCCGCGCTTTGTTAAGGATTCCCTGCTAAAAGCTAAGCTCAGCATAATAGGAAAATACTGAAGCAGCATGGAGCAAACTGAAAGACATACCAGTAAGAGGGTCAAAGAAGAATGCCATCTGTTTCAATTTACAGGGATTCGCACACAGCTAAGTACTAAGCATACTAGGAGACACAACAGGAAATGCATATAGCACTGGTGCCATTACAGTTATGGATAGTCAGCAATATCTTCCTATTCGTCATTGTCTGTCAATGCGGTCCGCAGGACCTTTGCCTTGTGTACGTCGGTCAGTTTGTTATTCTCTCGTCCTGGTCACCCAGAAACCAGACATGATTAATAGAAAGCAGAAAAAAAAATAATGGAAAAAGAGGGAGAGCAAAGAGTAAGAAATACAACTGTTAGAAAGGCGTCTGAGAATTGTTGAAAATCACTATAATAATTTTGGATGCCAAAAAATAATTTGGTTGAATTTTTGTTAAAATATTATTTTATGTTATACGAAATTGCGCGATTCAATTTTGTTCTCACTGCGAGCCGCGGCCTGGAATGTTTGCGAACTTGCTCCACTGTGTGTTCTACCAATATCTTGTACGTAAAAATTAAACTAACCCGGTTTGACATTTTATTAAACGATTCATGTATGACAAAGGATTAATAAATAGATACTGTTAAGGTTAATGTTTACGAAGTCAGCATGTGAGTGCCAAAGCTCTATTGCTACATGTATTACCCTGTACAACATTTTAGTCATATGAGTTACAATACATAGACGGTGCATAAATATTCCATAAGTATGAATTTAGCTTCAAAATTCTCAAGTCCATTGATTAGTTTTTACTTATTACGTCACAGATGAGCAAATCTAAGGACCCCCTCTATTGTAATGTCTTTGAAGCTATAAAATTTTTGCATTCCCGACCCCGAACTAAAAATGAAAAGGCGCGATGCGGCTTCCAATAGCCCGAGGCAGCAAAACCCAATTATTGCGGTGGGGCAGACCTGTTGGCCTATTGCTTTGTTAGTAAATACAATCGCCGTCAAAAATGACGCTGTCGGCATCCTTTAGAGATAATTGCTTGCGTCTTCTTTATGCATTCCGAATAATAGCTTGATGAGGAGGCTAAATTGAAGACGCTGCTGCAGTTTTCACGAATTCTCATTATGCTCCCTTTCATCGCCATCTTAGGCATCAGATTGTGTTGAAATGTAGCTTTTACCATTGAATATTTACGGTTGCTTTGTGAAAAATCTTAGTTGTCATTTTTACGTAATTTTTGTGTGAGAGGTAACGCGTTGTGATTCTTGCCTTTGAGTATTTACGGTTGCCCTTATAGAATAACGTTGTATCTGTTTTATAAACAGTTCTGATTTGTTTTTGGCTGCAAATTATATAGGAAGCTAGTGCTCTGCATCATGTGAGCATTTGCGGTTGCTCAGTAGTGTCCCATTGTGTCTTTGAAGGCAGGACCCAATAAACATCTTGACGATCAACATCTAGGTTTTTAGGAGACAACTTCTATTGCCATTTATAGCTTCGATAGGTAAATTATACCATTCAACATTTATGGTTGCTCTACAGAATAGGTCCATGCATTTAAGAGCAGTGACTGAATTGTATTTTGATGATTATGATTAACCTGGCTAATGTTAATATATTTAAGAAGAATGTATTACTATTTATTAGTGCATTGCATGGGTGCACTTTTTTAAAATAAATTAATAAAATAAATAAATAAGATAAAAATGCTAAGCCATATTCATTGTCAAACATAGGAAGCATCCATGTTTTTTAGGAGCATTTTTTTCAACGGTTGGCCGTGATTGTGGATAACGCAACAGGTTTTGGTATTCCAACTTTCAGCGGCGCATCTGTACATTTAGATAGGTGTTTGATGCATAATAAAAGAGAGTATAGAGATGTGCCATCACACAAACTAGATGGTCAACCTTTCAGTCCGAAATGAGGAATTAGCTTCTCGTCAAAATATTGTGAGTCGGATTGAAAAAAGAATGTTCTGAAGATCGTAAACTTGAAACTCAGGCGGCAAATAATACTTTTTTTCAAGGCCAAACACTTCTCAAAATGGATACTGCTTCCAAACTGCCAAAGCTACCTCCTTCCTTCATGTTGGCTAAACGTGCTTATTTTAACTTCAACAAGGTTTTTCATTATAATGTTTGACTTCAAGTTAGTAATTTGGTAAACAGCAAAGCTTTGAATTAACAGTTGATAAAGAAGGAATTTAACACAATCACAGAATTTGTAATTAATTATAGTCTTTTTGATTAAAATACAAATAACGAATATGGATTAAAAAAAATTAGTTGATAAATCGAACTAAAAATGAAACATGAATAATAGCTTAAAAAACTAAAAAAACACGCTTCTATAGCTAACCGCACTAAGAAGTATAAAATAATTTTCAGTTACAAAGAGTTTATATTACAGTACTAGATGGTCGAACAATCAATCATAATTAATGACCTCAAATCAGAGCAAAAAGCGTGGGTTGCTTGATATATTAGATGTTACAATAATGGCAACTATTGGCAACTATTTATGATAGAAGAGTTATGAAAAAGTAGTAAAACGCACCCGACGCATCTTACTGCGAATTGAATTATTCTGTTAATAACTTAAATTTTATTATTATTTTATTTTGAGGTCATTAGTTATGATTGATTGTTCGATCATCTAGTACCGTAATATAAACTCTTTGTAATTGAAAATTATTCTCTACTTTTTAGTTCGGATAGCTATAAAAGCGTGTTTTTTAGTTTTTTAAACTATCTATCAGTTCTTGAGTATTTAGAAGTCCAGCTAGTTGTAATTGGGCTACATGATTCTTAAGGCACCTTGTAAACAATTTTCTTTATCGACCGCATTCCAGAAGAGAATAAGATTTAAAAGGGTTTAGGTAAAGAGCAGGCAAATTAGTTCATGGATTAGGACACTCAAAATTACCTGACAAATCAAAATCAAGTACAGATTGCATGGAAATCCATTGGAACATCATAATAATAATAACTTAGGAGCTTACGCTTCACCTGCCCTGGTTTTTGGCATTTATTTAATCTCTTCTCCCTTCTAGTTTTTTTCTCGCTAGCAGATTTGATATATTAAACAAACTGATAAAATGAGAAATGGTTTCATTGCCCTCATAAAACACTGAAAATAGTGAAGCAATAACGTAGGGATGTTGAATTTCTGATACTCAAATAATTAATTCATTGTCACTCAAGAAATATGTGAAACCGAAAGTACTAGAAATAGTACTGGACCAGCTAAAAGTTCTCTTTCGGCGGCATGAACAAAAAATCAACTTCCAAAACTTGAGCGCACTGCATTCAAAAAATCACCCGATACGATGACTTCAAATAGTTTTTAAAGTAACTGAAAAAGCAGAAACATTACGAAGAATGTTCGATGGTATTTATTGAAATTACTCTGCCATCATCGGTAATGTTCCTCTTCGCTGGTCACAAAATTTCAACAGGTTAGCCGTCACTTGCACGCAAAACAATAAACGCATACCTATACAGGGTGACTTCGAAGTTGAGTCATTTATTTTAACAGTGAGTAGATCTGATCAAAAGAAATGTTTTTTCCTTTAACATTTTTGTGGCAAAATTAAAGTAACAAAGTTATAGCTCTTTAGAAGTTTGAGTACCGCCCTGTCTCAATAATAATATTATGTGCTCGTGTTTGGAAACGGATATAACCCGTCTTATCGGTTCATCCCATCGGAAACAAAAAAGCGAAAGAATTTGAAACGCTGATCACGGTGTTTTTATTCAGTCGATGTGTCAGTCGGTAACGCGTGAGTGAATAGTGGTGTTTGCTGCGTGGCTCAAACGAAATAAAAAATGGCACATGTTTATGCGGATCGCTTTCCCAATCGAGTGCAACCAACCCCTCGTGCCTTTGTTAATGTAGTACAACGGGCTCGTGAATCAGGTGACTTAAGACCTCACAGGGGAGGGCATGCCGGTGCTCCAAGACCTCACGATCAAATACAGGTCCGCACTGAAATACTTGTTGGGAGGATACTTTATAAAACAAGGTAAACATTTTTTTTATTTTTTTTTATTTTTACACACATATTTTGGTTTATCTTCCTTCTACAATCATTATCTGAAAATTAATGACTCAACTTCAAAGTCACCCTGTATATTTAATGTAACATAAAAGCTTTTTCTGATCTTTTCCTCATCGGAACTTGACAGTGTTTGTGATAAATCAACCTCAACGACTTGCCATTTCCAAGCCATCCTATAATTAAAACTTGCCACACCTCATAGAAAACGATCAATCATTTGAGGACGCTTAATTAAATCAAGAGAATTTAAACGTTACGTTATTTATTTAAGAACTCTGCTTCACGCTGCTAGTTAGCATATTTACTTCCTCAAATGAATGGTATACGAATATTTGAAGACAAATGGATAAAATTATTTTTTTAACTAGTACTAGCTATCCACGTACCTGATTAGCTCGAATATTTCCGGCTTTTCTCGTTCCCTCTGTTTCATTCTGTCTTTCATGGCTGTGATGATGCTGTTTGCCTTATCCTCGGCACCATGCTTTGAACTCTTTTCCGCGGCCCCTGAAAAGAATATAGATCTTCAGTACCAGCTGTTCATTATTACACACCTAGATAATTTTGGATTTATCTGCAGAATGTAGAAGAGTGAGGTACCCCTACTGTTGCGACAGCAGGTATTTCTTTATTTATAATTTGAATAATTGAAGAAACCAAGGTATTTCGCCTTGTATTTTTTTGGGCAATTGCAGAAAATATATTTTATGCATTGAACTTTTAAGAATTCTAAAATATGATTAGGAAATAAGTTGCGATATTCTGGCAGTTCTGTTTTTAATTCAAGTTCTTTAGTTCCACTCTTCCCTCAACCCACACGATCACAAAAAAGCTCAAGACAGTCATTCTTTGAATGTTCGCATAGAAAAAATCTGATTTGAATACATCGGAAGTTATCTCATTACTGATTTTTTTGTTGAACGGAAACTACTTGACCGAACTTCCTAAATGTCTACTAGTTACTGGAATACGATAGGAGACAGAGAAAGTGATAATTCTTGACATGAACCCTTTTCAGTCAGTCAATTGCCACCTTCTTGAATAGTTCTAATAGTTTAGGATTTTTAGATGAAATATAGCCGTAAAAATTCGACCAAAATGTGGACGTGCAAAATCAATATACTTTTAGCGTAAGAATGTCGCAACTAAACAATTCCGACTACAATATATGCAATAGATGTGATGTTTAGACAGCTAACAGCTCCTAACGCCTCCTTTAAAACATGGCACAACGGATATTTTGATGATATTTGCCCAAGTCACTAAAATCCTCATTTTAATAGTACGGTTTGTGGGTTGCATGTGGTAGGATAGTATTTATGGATAAGATACGATTGAAGAAATATAGCCTAGTTTCGATATCACACTCAGCTGCTTGTCTCCACAACGTCGGGCATATGTATACTAAGTGACATATAAATCCGAACATCCAGTTTAAATGGTTTTATTTTAATAAAAGTTGGTGAATGTATACTATGTGACATATAAATCCGAACACCCAGTTTAAATGGTTTTATTTTAATAAAATTTTGTATAAGTACTTAATGAAGCATAATAAGTAAATGATAAAAATTTCAAAATGATTGCACTGCTTTAAAGCCCTTTGACCTTTAATAATGTGTGGATGCACCCTGATGTGCTACGCATTCTCCAACGCGCCTAGGCATGCTTCTGATCAGGTGGTCAACGTCCTCCTGTGGTATCTCATTCCAGGAAACCACCAACACCTCTTGAAGTGATTCTAGAGTCTGAGGAGGACGTTGCAAATTGAGCAATCTCCTACCCATCATATCCCACACCTGCTCAATTGGGGATAAGTCGGGAGATCTTGGTGGCCATGGTAACAATGTGACATCATTATGTTGAAAGAAGCCTATTGTGACTCTTGCAACATGTTGTCGGGCATTATCTTGTTGGATCTGCCAGGGTGTCAAGATAGGGTAAAAGATGGGGTTCTAGAACTTCGTGGATATAACGCTGCGCATTCATGTTACCTCTGATGAAGATTAAAGGTGACCTGGAACCATAAGCTATAGCACCCCAAACCATAACTCCAACAGTGTGATGAATATGTCTTTCAACAAAAAACTGTGGATTCCTCCTTTCACCACGTCGCCTTCTAACCCTGGCACGACCATCGTGCATGCCTAAACAAAATCAAGACTCGTCACTAAAGACAATACTGTTCCATTTCTGATCTCAGAGTGACCGTTGTCTGCACCACTCAAGGCGATTACGTCGGTGTGAGGGTTAGAAGGCGACGTGGTGAAAGTAGGAATCGACAGCTTTTTGTTGAAAGACATGTTCATCACACTGTTGGAGTTATGGTTTGGGGTGCTATAGCTTATGGTTCCAGGTCACCTTTAATCTTCATCAGAGGTAACATGAACGCGCAGCGTTATATCCACGTTCTAGAACCAAATCTTTTCCCCTATCTTGACACCCTGGCAGATCCGACTTTCCAACAAGATAATGCCCGACCACATGTTGCAAGAGTCACAATAGACTTCTTTCAACATAATGATGTTACATTGTTACCATGGCCACCAAGATCTCCCGACTTATCCCCAATTGAGCACGTGTGGGATATGATGGGTAGGAGATTGCTCAATTTGCAACGTCCTCCTCAGACTCTAGAAGCACGTCGAGAGGAGTTGGTGGTTGCCTGGAATGAGATACCACAGGAGGACATTGACCACCTGATCAGAAGCATGCCTAGGCGCGTTGGAGAATGCGTAGCACATCAGGGTGCATCCACACATTATTAAAGGTCAAAGGGCTTTAAAGCAGTGCAATCATTTTGAAATTTTTATCATTTACTTATTATGCTTCATTAAGTACTTATACAAAATTTTATTAAAATAAAACCATTTAAATTGGGTGTTCGGATTTATATGTCACTTAGTATATGTATGCACATACAACTAGACCAAGCCGCCGATAACCAGTACTAGCCTAATTAACATAAGTATGTTGTAGATTCTGGAGGTATAATCGCATACAGTGAAGAAGATATCTCAGTGGTACAAGTAATGTTGATTAGATCAATTTTGGTATTGGAATGTGAGCATAGGCACATAAACAGATGTTTGTCTGGATATGTACAACATGCCCCTAAAGTTTTTTCTACTTATTTCTGTAGTATTTTGCATCTACAAAGTGTATCGTTGATGTTTTTCAAGTTTGTGGACGTGTTATATAAAAAGATAGCAAGGAAGAAAATATAGAACCTATACTATCAATGCATTCATGGTCTATTACGATACCTTTCCATTAATCGATGCAGTTCAGGGTTATTACGAAGATATGCACGATATGAAGAAAAGAAGAACTTTCTAGATTGTAATTAGTGTTGAGATGAATAATAATGTGAATGCTTTTACTATTCCGACTTGATATTTTATAAATAGCGAGAAAAGATTCGTTTATATTATTAGAAATAAATAATTAAAAATTGCTGTGAAAAGAAGATAATCAGCAAAATGTTTTAAAAGAACATAATTCTCAAAATCGGATCAAACGTACAACTTTTTAAAGTAATTGGCGCGGTGATCCTATTTGACTCTTCCAAAGATAGATATAAGACTATAACGGGCCAAGGGTACTGAATATAAAACAATACTAATTTCGATGAAAATTGTGAATATTTTGAATCAGAGCCTGTTTAAAAAACTAATATTTGTAGAAGGGGCAACGAGTTCTTTTATAAAAAAAATGATTGCTGTATACCTCGAAACCGATGGAGCCAAACAGAATCTTGCCAAACAGCAGGTCATAACGCAGTATCACCCTACAATTTCAGAACGTCCTGTATATTCATATTTGACAAATACTGCACTGTAATGTACACATCCTTCTTTCTACTTCCGAATATATGGCAATATGATGTCCTTTCGACTCTATCTGAAGATAAAGGTTAGCCCAGCTGTTTTTCTAGCAACGCCCCTTTACATAATGAATTACCTGTATTTTGCACACTCAACTCATATAAAGGACATACTGACAATTGGTTTTACACCTGGCTACTGAACCACTTCTTTTAGTCTTGTCAGCGGAGGTGTGGAGGAAGTGCGGCATATTTGGAATACTGCAGGTAAGTTGGAGGACTTAATTATCTAAATAAATGTAAACGCTATTTGTATTTTTTTATCGTGAATATAGTAATGTCGTAAGTCTCAAGAAACCACAAGTACTAAAAAGAAGACGTCACCTTGACATTTCCTGCTACCAGCCACATGGAAACGAGACGTCTACTTTGAAAACTTTTTGGGTAAGTATGCAATCATTGATAATCATTTAATATGATGCGCAAAATCGTCATTGCAATTATTTGAACTGTTATGTGACCTTGTTAGTTTTTAATTTTATTTTCATTTCGTGAATATATTAAGAATTAAAGATGTGACAAGGAATTTTAAGTTAGATGTCACGTTAATTTGGATTAGGTACAGTGCGTAATGTGCGAATTGTGGGTTCACGCTGCTTGTAGTGGTTATGAAGCCAGTGTATAATATATAAGTCAAGCTAAATACTGATTTGTGACTATTATGACTGATTACTTAAAACTTAATAATTATAAGCTATTTTGTTAAACAGGTTAATTACCAAAGACTGTAAAACGGTTACAAAGCTGAGATATTTGTTAGTTTTCTCAGGAAATGTGTGAACAAAAGTTATCATCATTTGGAATACTATATTCCATATTACCTGAATCCTCAGTAAATTTACGCTGTTGGAGTTTTTTATTTTGTCAAATATTTGATGGGGTTGGTTTTTGTTTTGTTTGTTTATATCATCAAAATTTAATAATTTCCCAATAATTTAATGCATTTTTCATTTTGCTATCCCATTTATCTTGCAATTTATTTCCAAAGAACATACCAGTATTCTAAATATGCTGCAGTTCCTCTATGTATTTTAATAAGCGTCGCAGCTTGAAAATTCCGATTAGAAAATTAGAGCATTTGTCGTTTTTGTGGTTGACATAACTAACGAACCAACTCCGCCTCCGGAATGTAATTACCATGAAAGCATTCCAAAAGCTTCTGGAATTTTAAATACCGCATACTAAAGACTTTTTGCTTCTGTGGGGAGAGCCCATTTCGCGATATAAGCATAATGGGAAAGGAAGTTAATCTTAATATTAACTTTTATAATCGCAGCTTGTGTCAATTCCAATAAAACAAGCATTAAAAAATCTACATACCAATTGCGTGTACTGAATGGTTCCTTTTTCCGGACCATTTCTCGGGAAAAAATGTTGTAACATTAAGGACCCATAAAGCGATGTTAGTTGGAATTAAATTGTTGTGGACCTTGTTGGGAAATGGTTTCAAGTTAAATTCAAGATTTGGTGTTATGAGGAGAATATAAAAATACAATTTTAACAGTAGGCTATTTGAAAATGTGTTTGGTAATATGTTTTTGCATACAGCATAATGTGATATGTTAAACAATGAAATGTTTAATTTACTTTCAACTTATACCGCCTATTTAGACTAGTAATACTAACAATATCCACAGATTTAATCTAACAAATGTGGTTTCATTGGCCATACAAACAAGAGGGGTTATAAGCAAGGTTTGCTTTAGAACTTACAGGATATTTAGCCCCTGGTATAGAAATTACAAATAAATTATTTTGAAAAACACTTCCTCAACATACAAAAGGGCTCAGAAAAATTAAGGTACTTGCCCTTAAACCAAGCTCAGCGTTATTTACCAAGGACACGTAGACATATTTTGGTAATGCAAAAAAAACATAATTTATTTGCACTATCATGTTATTTTTTAGTATAACTTAGAATTAGTGAATTCAACGCAATCGAGGAAATATTACTGTTAAAAGCGAAGTGAAAGTATATTTTGTTCTGGAGCATATCGTCGTTATTTTGATGGAACATCTTACATTTTTCCCCATCGGAGCTTCCTGAATATCTGTATAGTCATATGAGCTCCGTGATCTGATGTACAAGAGTTTCATAATAAGAAACACTATTACTTCTATAAATATTCACTAAAAATCGATATGAATGGAAGCGAAACCAATTACTCAAATTTAAAAGAGTCTTTATGTCATTCTGTTAAAACGGCCTCTAAACTCATATGAACTTTCATCAAAACAGCCAAGACATCATATCCTCATTCTTAACAACATTTCAGTATTCACAAAAACGGACATAATTATAGTACTGTTTCAGTTTCACATGTACGAGACAATACATAATGTTATCCAATATGGGGTGTGTACACATTATAGTAGCAAGTGTTTTATTTGCGTCCTGGAATGATTAATAGCTACGAATTTCGCTCGTTATTTTCCAGGCAAGCTTCCATTCTGAGACAGACGGTCCCTGGAAGCACTTGATGCATTATCCATTCTTTTAACAGTCGTTTACGGGCATTTATGCACCCAACTTCAGTGTTTTGATAGGGTCACCCAACAATGTTTGACTCAGTTGCTTGAGCAAATGGACGCTAAGACGATACACAGTGTATTCTATTATTGGCACACCCCTTTTTTTCTGGAATCACAACAACGAACAGACGAATATTTTGTTACTACAATTATTTGAAAACTAACATCCAATTAGTCATTTCTGATGGCAATAGGTTGAGCAAAATAAAAATAATAGAATAATAATACGAATCATGGAATTTAAGCATCAAAAAAGTATTGCCACACTAAAAAATACAAGCAAGTATATAACTTTCAATAAAATGTATTCACATCTAGTACTTTCATTATATCGTTTGTACCAAATGCCTGAAGCTATCGTGTCATGGAACTTTTGAGTAATTTCTAGTCTAATTTGGTCCCATTTCTGCACAAGAACGTCTTTTCCAGAATTTATATTTTTTCGGGCCTTCAGGTCCAGCATGTACTGCAAATGTTTAATGGGAATTATGTCCATGGTATTCAAGGATCAGTGATTGTGTGTAGGAACATTGTACAGTAACAACTTTGTTTTGTGGCGGTTTGCTCAAGGTCTTTATACTGCTGAAAAATAAATGTTCCGGTGGTCCTTATTTTTTTCAGCACTGCGCAAAATGTCAACATACCTGTCTGCAGTCCTAATGCTTACATGAAGCTTAGCTTTCTAATATCATTCCACCATATGCAGCCTCGCACTAAAACGCTTCCGTCAACATGTTTCACTGTTGGGCTGACATGTATCATTATCAAGTGTTAGGATTTCTCCATATATATTCGGGATCATCAGAGATAAATTCTTGATCTTATTTTAATCTTCAGTCTTTCGGCTCTGATGTCGCAAATATGTATGGAAAAAACCTTATACATAATTTGAAATGAATGACTCGTTTGTTCGTTTACTCTGCAAATATATTTTGAACCTTTGAATCTCATAATTCGTACCTATTATTATTCATATATTGATTTCAATTTGCTCAATCTATTGCGATCATAAATGCCTATTTGGATGTTAGTTTTCAAATAAGTTTAGTATATAAAAATTATTTCTTCATAATTGAGTCTTACATGACGAGCTGCCTGACTTGCAACACATGCTCTTCAAGTTCCAAGCGGATTGACTTGGTACCTTCCATTTTCAAATTTCTCAGATTCTCAAGCTTTATCAGAATAAAAAATGAGTTTCCGGAATATATATAATATATATATAATATAATATATAATAGTATTCAAGTGATGCATAATAAAAAAAACCAATGAAACAATTCTTTGTACTGTATCCTAAGGTGATGAGAAACTTGAATAACAAAGACTATTCTTTCCAGAATTTTAACTCGCTTCACCCATAGACAACGAAAACACCAAGGTTTATTAGACTGTTGTTTGAATCCTAATACTGAATATTAAAAAAAAAATTGGTTGGACACTATTGTCACGTGCGCAAGGGTTAACTAATATAATGACCATAAAAACGGGCAGTCCCATTTAATTTTTATAAGACAGTACATTGTCGGTAACGAATGTCCACTTGGAGGAGGTGCGTTATTCGCCAAAGAGTATTTTCAGCACCAAAGGGTGTACTAATGAAATCATATTTCCTGAAAAAATATATTTAAGGAGCATTGTCAACTATATGATTTCAATGATTTTGATATAAAGATGTGCAGAAATCAATATAAACCGGTCAGAGGTTTCGTTTGGACCTCAGCATTTAGGTATCTTCCTCTCGCGATACATGTAATGAAACCATGTGCATGCATGGGTAACTACACTTGACTCCATAAAAGACAGAAGTATCGCATTTGTGAAAATATTCAACTCCTTCAATTAAAATGTTTTTGTTGTTTAAAAATATCTCAATGACAGAAATCGATATTATCCATTTCTGTCGCTTTGTCATTCTAGGCCTGCTTGTCCGTCTGTTGGCGTTCTGGTACACATCGTCCCTTTAGAATAGAACTAGCCTAAGTCCAAAAAGCAAAGTTTTCAGGAAACGGTTTTTTTTTAATAGATTCTTTATTTATACAGATATTTTAATGAAAATTTGTACACATGTTCTAAAAATGTCTGTTTTTAATATACCTTAGTAAAAACGAAAAACATTAACGTTAAAGCAAAAAGTTGGACATAGATTACTTTTAATGTTAGCAAGTATACCAAGTCCACTTCTTGGACTTAGGCTTATTGTATGTTTATGGACATAATATAGTCATTGGTTAATTTTATGACTTTTTATTCAAAACCTGCTACGATAATAACGTAAAATATTATCTATTACTGCTTCAAAATTTTTGTGAAAACAGATTTATTGACTTTCTTCTATAAAAACACAAATGTTCATCTAATAAAATTTATTAGAATAATTTTTATTAATACACAGTTAGTAAGTAATAGAAATAAAATACTTAAAACTTAAGTAGCTGAGCCCAAATTCCTTAACAAATGGAACTGAGCTTGAGTTTCTAAAAAATAAAAAATATTAATTTTTTTAAATAATTAAAATAACATGTTTTAAAACAAATGAAAAATATTTCTTAAGTAACTGACCCTAAATTTCTACACAAATAAAAAACATCTTAGACTATTCATCACTATCGGAATCTTGAAAGTTCGTTTTGTTGGAAAATGGTAAATTTTTAAAGTAACTATGGTAAGGCGCTAAAATTGCTCCTTTACGGCAAAGAAACTGAAGATGATCATACTTCAGTTTTTTCAAAGAAATTTCCTTTTCGTAGCATGGTTTTAGTTTTAGTGAGGCATCTATTTTTTTTCTTCCTTTTTCTGTGAGCTTTAATTTCTTGTAGGTAGAGTCGTAATTAACTTTAAAAAGTAAAGTGTTAGGGAAACGTGGATCAGCTTCAACTATTTTTATTTTATTTAAAAACACTCTTTCGTTTTCTTCATCTCTTTCCCAGTTAATACACGTCTTTTTTTCAAGATCTTTTAAATCATATATATTTTCCTGTGCAAGCTCAACTACTTTGTAAGGATCCTTTCTTTTAGCTGTCCTTACAACCGTATACCACTGATCTGGTGTGTATATAGGTATATTTCGAGCAGCTCTTTCTATTACGCTATGTACGCAATCGCCTTCACTTTGAGTGTGGCCTTTTTCTAAGTAGGTATGTTTTATTTTTATTTGATATTTTTGCGATAAATAGCTGTACAAAGAGTACAAAAATCTGTTGCGGTTTTGACCGCTACAGTTGTCAGAAAAGAAGCTAAATTCTCTTATTCCTTGTTCTACTTGGCTGATAATGTACAAAAGTAAACAACTTCCAATCTCAGAGGCACCTCTGTTTCCGACTACCTCATTCCACATGTAACAATTGCACTCTTTTGTTGCTAGGTTGTACACAGTAAAGTTGTAAGTTGATAATTTTAATTTGTAATAGGACAGGCCAACATTAGATTTGGGAACTGGCAACACTTGTTGCAAGTCAAAGACAGCGCAACAAACCTCACTGCTATTCTCAGCTGCTCTTTGTTTCTCAAACTGTTTGATTTCTCTTGCCCTATTTTTATTTAGGATATGGATGCGATAATCTTCTTCCAACTCTAATTTTTCTTCAAGAGAACTATTATCGTAGTTGTGGCAAATATCGCAGAGATCCTTTTTGGGCTGAAAGAAGGATAGATTAAAATCTCTATTGAAGATTGTTCTATACATTGCTTCAGTTACTGTTTTCCTAATATTCTTTTCCTGACAATACTCCAGGTACATGGTATACATCTTGCTTACGTTAAGTGCTGGGGGTAAATATTTACGACTGGTCTTTTGTCTGCAGTAATGACTTTCAATTGTTTCAAATAAGTTTATGTGATCCCTAACATTTTGTTTAGTAGACTCGTCAATAAGAGTGTTTTTGCAAGCTTTTCCTCGTCTATCTTCGGAAACAATACCTGAAGTTCCAGTTTTGTTCATAACGGTTTTGACTACCTGTGCACTGATTGACAGTGTATTTAGAAAAAAAGTTTTACATATTTGCACCTTATTGTTTTCATTTTTGGGAAGAGAGTATGTAAAAGTACTGTTTCTTCTACTGTTTTTATCATTAGACAGTTCTAAGAATGTATTGTCATTCTTTTCTGGTAATTCAGCGGGATGATGCTTATTCTTTTTACGAATTCTAGTTCTAGCTTTAGAAACTACTGTAACATATTTGGATATAAAATCACGTTGGCGGTTGACATCTCCTAATCCCCAATATTCAGTAAATATTTTATGTCTTTCTTCTTCACTCATTTTATTTAGACACTTCATTCTACATTTCTCTTCACATGATGTTTTCATTTTTCTTGCTAATTGTTTTTTTCCTTTCCAGTTGGTGTATTTCTTTCCTTGATTTCTCGATGACTTAATTATGTTTCTTTTCCAAGTATGTTCTCTTCTTAGCTTTTTTTTAGATATTTTTCTAGCATTTTTATTCTTTTCATCTGTGTTAGAACTTGTATCAGTTTCTTGATAATTGTTTTCAAAATTAAAGTTTTTTCTCTTCTTTTTGCTTTCTTGTGGATTAAAATTAGGGTCGTTTTCTTCATCATCAGTTTGGAAAGGATCCGTGTCCGATGATAAATACAGATCCTCTTCGACAATATTTTTCCGTTTGCCACATTTTTCAGGGTCCAATTGGTCAGTTTCTATTACATCTAGAACAAAAAGTCTCAGTAAGAAATTTATAACAAAATACCTACTTTTAAAATTGACAACGAAAATAAAAACCAAATCATTTATGAGACCAAAATTACTTACACAAACATTAAAAATAAATAAATGATTATTTTTTTAAACAGACCGGAGGTACTCACTTTCTAGACCCCAAGGATAACTAAATATTGTTGTTGAAAAGCCTCAAAAGCCTATTGTTTTTTTAGCCTTAAAACTGTTATCAATATCAACAAAACCGGAGATTTAGATATTATTTTTGAGGATACAAGTATACACACCTTATAAAACACTCTTATTATTCTATCTTCTATTAAAAAATGGGCCACATACATTTATTTGACTGAAACTCAGTATGCTTGGCCAATAATCCTATCCTAAGCAAGATGTATACCATGTACCTTGAGTATAATTGCTTGTTTACTGGTAAAGTGTTTGATTTTTAATATTACTAATTCTTTTTACTCGTTAGTTTGCTTACCTATGATTTTTTCGAGAACACTTCTTACTTCTTCACTAGCATTTGCGTCTCCTTTATCGGCCACAATCGGTGTAACTTTATTGGATTCAATACTCAAAACTGATTTTATATTTTCGAGGTTCATACTGCAAAATGCATTATCGCTCTTGTTAAAAGCAGCCGTTTCCTTAGAGAGTAAATAACCAGGCGGCATAAGATTTGCTGTATTCATCAAATATTGGGCGTCTATTTTTTCTGGTCTTGCAGATACTGTTAGTTTGTCATGATTGGTATCTATAAAAAAATAAAGTAAACATTATTCAGTACAGAGTTTTATGAGTGTAGATCGTATTATTTGTTTTTTTATTTATACAATTAAAAAAATAAATAGAATTTATCCTGAACCAGTAGCTAAAAACGTATTTCCAATGTTAACGTGTTACTTAAGAATATTTGTATAGCTAGAAAAGCACTACTTACCATCACAGTGCCTGGCCAGAAGATCAAAAATTTTTTTCCTTCTAGAACTCATATTTAATTTGTTTACGTTGCGCAAACTCGATCACTATACACTAAGAACTGCTTTAAACTGAGGTAATCTGCGTTATTCGTGTACGGTGGCGCCTTGAAATGCCTAGATTTCTAACAAGTCGAAACCAGTACAGTGCAGAACTAGTTTATGTCCACTAAAAGATGTGAGGGTTTATTAAAATTATAGATCAGAATAAGCCTAAGTCCACATTTTCTTGGACATAAAATTTTGTTTCAAAGTAGAACTAGCTTAAGTCCACACAATTCACTAGTATAGGTAATCTGTCCCAACAAAGGATACTTCTGCATTAAAAATTATTTACCCAAATATGGACATAGAATTTCTGTTCTAAAAAAGGATAGTTCTGCACTAACAATTATTTTGCTTCAGGACATAGGCTTATTCTTAATTTAATGAGTACGTGAAAAATATAAACGTTAGGACTTAGATTAGTACTGCACTTGATAGGCGACACCTT